ATTCCTGGGCATATACTCAAACAAAACTAAAATTCAAAAAGATACACGCACCTGTATATTCAAAACAGCACGATTTACAACAGACAAGACATGTACACAATCTAAATGTCCATGGACAGATGAATGGATAAAGATGTGCTACACATGTACACAATGGAATATTAGTCATAAAAAGAATGAAATAATTCCATTAGCAGCAACTTGAATGGACCTAGAGATTATACTAATGAAGTAAGTCAGAAAGAGAAAGATAAATATCATACATACTTATATATGGAATCTAGAATACAACACAAATGAACATATCTATGAAACAGAAACAGACTCACAGACAGAAGAAATTTTTGGTTCTCAAGGGGGAAGGAGGAGTAAAGGAAAAAAGGATTGGGAGTTTCAGATTAACAGACTCAAAGGATTATATATACATATATCTATATATAAAATATATTTTAGATATATACATCAGATGGATAAAAAACAAGGTCATACTGTATAGCACAGGGAACCATATTCAACATTCTTTCATACACCATAATGGAAAGAATATAAAGAACAACATAAATATGTATAACTGAATCACTTTGCTAAATATCAGAATTTAACACAACACTGTAAATATACTACATTTCTATAAAGTTTTTTAAAAAGGAATTAAGTACTGAAACAAGCTATAGCATGGATCAAAATTGAAAACATGCTACCTGAAAGATTCCATTCATAGAAAGACACATATTTACAAAACTTTTCATATGAATGCTCAGAATAGGCAAATCTATACACAGAGCAGATTAATTTCTGCCAGGGAATGAGAAGCAGGAAGAACAGAAAATGAGCAAGGGCCATAGGGTTTCTTTCTAGAATGATGGAAATGTTCTGAAATTAGATACTGGTAGTAGATGCACAACTTTGTGAATATTCCAAAAATGCCCTATATTCTATATTTTGAAATAGTGAATTTTCTGTTACCTGAATTCCATCTCAGTTCTTTAAAATTCTCATTATATCCTATTGTTATTTTATATTCCCCTAAAGCTCGGCAGCTGCGACGGCACACAGGCGCAGCCGAGAGGAGCTACGCGACGTAGTTCTTTGCACTTTGCTGGAGCAGCCGTGAAGAGACACTCCACATCCAAGGTAAGACAAACCCCCGTAAGACAGTAGGCACTGAAAGAAGGCATCAGAGGACAGACAGACTGAAACCACAATCACAGACAACAGACCAATCTGATCACACAGACCACAGCCTTGTCTAACTCAATGAAACTAAGCCATGCCGTGTGGGGCCACCCAAGATGGATAGGTCATGGTGGACAAGTCTGACAGAATGCGTTCCACTTGGAGAAGGGAATGGCAAAACACTTCAGTTTTCTTGCCTTGAGAACCCCATGAGCAGTATGAAAAGGCAAAAAGATAGGACACTGAAAACTGAACTCCCTAGGTCTATAGGTGCCCAATATGCTATGGGAGATCAGTGGAGAAATAACTCCAGAAAGAATGAAGGGATGGAGCCAAAGCAAAAAGAACACCCATTTGTGGATGGGGCTGGTGATAGAAGCAAGGTTCAATGCTGTAAAGAGCAATATAGCATGGGAACCTGGAATGTCAGGTCCATGAATCAAGGCAAATTGGAAGTGGTCAAACAGGAGATGTCAAGAGTGAACATCAGCATTCTAGGAATCAGCGAACTAAGATGGACTGGAATGGGTGAATTTAACTCAGATGACCATTATATCTACTACTGTGG